CTTTAATCGCGCGCCGAGTCCTGGCGCCCGGGGGCGCCTCGCTCCCCGCCCCCTCCCCATCCCATCGGGACTCTTGGCCGGCGAGGCCCGGCCCCGAAGACCCTGCCTTGCGTGGCGGCCCCGTCACCAGCGCTGTCCCCGGCACGTCACAAATCCGGGAGAGGCCTCCCCGGAGTCCCCTACCTCCCAGCCCTGCGAGGACGCGCGGCCCTGGCACGCACGCCACCCCTGGGTGCTGGGAGCGAGGGGGGCGGCGGCGGGGTGGGAACTTAGGGGCTGGGCGCCCCACGACCTTGGACCCCCACCCCGAGGCGTTGTCCTTCCTTTTTCAACGGCAGGGTTCCTCTTTCCAACTTGACTCCCCCCACACTAACAGGCTGGCCTGGCCGGTGTCGAACTTCGGAACGTCTGTTGTTCTGGATTGCTTAAAGCTGTTTGTCTCTGGCTTGGTAGTTAGCTTCCTTTCCCTATTCTCCGCCGCCCCTCTCCCCTCTCCCTTCTCCTTCTCCCCTCCGTGTGTGTGTGTGTTCTGAGATCTAAATATTGTGATCAAAGCGTGTGAAGCACTTGGCAGGCCTTGCCGGAGAGTATCAAGACATCCTAAGAATTATAGGGCGTGGCCTAAGGGAAGGAGGCCAATTTCCACCCACTGTCCCAGACTGGCAGGTTCCAGTGCCTCGCCACAGTGCTGCCAGGATTGACAAGCCCCAGTTTGGGGATCGAGGTCAGCGCAGAAGAAACCACAAGGCAAAACAAAACCAAAAATATCCAAAGACCAAAGACTGGAGCGTCAGGACAAGCGTTGTATGTCCAGCATCCTGGGCGTTAGAAGGCTCCTGGGCTTTGGTGTCCACCGTCCTCCGCTCTACACATTTGTACCACTGCCTGCCACATGGCTTTGGAAAGGCAGCTGGCACACTTTCAGTGTCAGAAAACCCACTGCTTTGTGCTCCTGGACGACTGTCACCACGTGGGGCACTAGTTCTTGGTTCTTAGTCCCACTGGATGACAGTCAAGTCTACCTCCTCCAGCTGCTGAAGGTGGCTTCCAACCTCACCCCTAACTTCCCTGGGGTTAGTCTTTGTCTAATCCCACTTTACAACCCCACAGGGCTTACAAGGCTGATTTTTCGGAAGTCGATCTGGGGCCTTATTTGTTTGTTTTGGAGTTTTTTGTTGTTGTTTGGTTGTCTGGGTCTGTTTTAACTGTCTGGTTGGACTTCCAACCTTTTAGTAAACAACTGATGAAGCTAACAAAGCATTGCCTAGGAATTCCCTGGGCCCTGGGCCAACTCCAGGTTCTTCACTCCTTCAGGTGGCTGCTCCAGAAGTTTCTCTGAGCACCAGGTGTCTGTTCGGAACCACTAGAAGCCAGGAGGTCCAAAGCTAAGACCACCCTCACTGCCCTCAAATTGATTCCAACCCATAGGGACCCCATAGGACAGGGTAGAACTGGCCCTGTGGGTTTCCCAGACTAACTCCTTATGGAAGCAGAGAGCTTCATCTTTCTCCCAGGGAGCAGTTATGAACTGCTGACCTTGGGGTTAGCAGCCCAGCATGTGACCCACCATACCACCCACTAAAAGCCAGGAGGTAGGTGTGGGGAAATTAGAACAATGCTAGCAGTTTGAATGTAGACACCATTTACTCAGTTGGCTAGTAGACACCTTCTTTTCAACTCCTGCAGTGTTTGTTTTTGCTACCTGTCAGCAGCTCTTGGGGGTCACCAGCACTGGATTTCACTGGGAGAGAAATGTCTGAGTCCCTTAAGGTAGGAGGGCTGAACACAAGCTGTGACTTGCCCCAGGCTTGGCTTTTCCTAGAGTGAACAGCAGGGCAGAGAAGAGGGAGACGGCCTTGCCAGGAAGAATAAGGAAACCTCCTCTCCTCCCTCTTTTCTCCTTTGCCCTTGGCCTCCCCTGCCCCTGGGTTACAGAATACTGGGGGAGCAACAGAAGAAGGAATTATTACATCTTGTGTTTTTGACCAATGCATCATTATTTGCATAGGCTTGGGATGAGGGCAATGCTTTGTGATGTAAAATTTATAAGGAGCTATTTTTCAGCCCTGAGGAACATATCCCTGACCCTTTCTCTGATCTTTTCCACAGGATCCCAGCCCTCTAGTCACTAACATTTATAAGAGACTGTAAGTTTAGCTTGGAGGTAGGTAGGCACATGAGTTGGTAGGCACATGAAAGCAGCAACTGTGATTGAATCAATAATTGCCAAGGCAAAAGGCAGACCCATATGCATAGATACATACACATACAAATATATATAGAGAGAGCTTAAGTCACTCACTCATTGCCATTGAGTCAATGGGGACTCATAGCGACCCTATAGGACGGGGTAGAACCTCCCCTGTGAGTTTTCAAGACTGTACAATCGGCATTCTCTCGGAGGGGAGTTTAGGACACATTCTAATGAAGGCTGAAGCCAGATGCTGACTCACTGAAAAGGTGACTCAAACTTGTGTATGAGTGTGACAGAGAATGAAACAGAAGTTCACAGGATGGCAGGGGCAGTGCTACCCTGTCCTAAGAGGTCGCCGTGAGTCATCATGGACTTGATGGCAGTAGAAGTGAGGCCCAGGGGATGATCGGTAATGGTCTCTAACTTAATAAAATGACAATGATGCCTCTAAAGTGAACCAGAGACATGTATAACCCTTAGATGCGCAAATGAATTTGGGGCACTTAATTCTAACCCCAATTAGTTCTTTTTTTTTTTTTTTTTTCCCAATTAGTTCTTATGACATGGCCCGGCTTGATGCTCAACCTCATGAAGAGATCACTGAAGATATGGGTGCTATGGAAACCAGATGGTGCCTGGCTATCAGAAAGAATAGTGCCTGGGGTCTCAACGGCTTGTTTTCAAACAGGTGGCCCTCTAAGTGGACCCATCAACTAAGTCCGCATGGAAGAAGCACACCAGCCTGTGTGATCCACGGATTGTAAATGATATAATCCAAATCTACAGGAATGAATGGTATTAGAGCTTAAATTGTGAATTCCTGGTTTGCAGAAGGCGATGGATGGCAGTGGAAGCCCCAAATCCATTTGCAGGGTCCACACATGGATTAAGCCTCTGATGAATTCCCTCTGATCTTAGTTGAGGGATGTGAATAGCCCTGTTATCAGGCAGAGAACATTGTAAAGTTGATAATGGCAGACATAGGTCAAAATGTACTATCATTTGATCTCCCTTTTGGCCCAATTTAGAGCTGTTTCGGTTAAAAAAAAAAAAGTGAAGGGGAAATACACATGGATTAAGCCCTTGGGGAATCCCTCTGACCACGGATCAGGGATGTAAATAGCCTCGATATCATACAGAATGCACTGGAAAGTGGATTATCGCAGTTGCAGTTAGGTTAAAATTTAGCACCCTATATTTGATCTCCTTTATGATCCATTTAAATTTGCTCTAGTTTTCAATATTTTCTGCTTTCTCTTCAATTGAGGTTTTTATCTGTTCTTACTTTGTTATTATGAAGTTTGTTTTAAGGCTTCTCTGTGTATGAAGTCTACAATAGGTAAATCTTTAGAGACAGTAGCTGGATTAATCATTCCTTGGGTATCATAGGAGGTTGGGAAAAGATGGGGAGTTAATAATGACGGATACAAGAGTGAAGAAAACGTTCTAAAATGGATTGTGGTGATGACTGTACAATTCTTTTGATGTAACTGAAATATTAAATTGTATGATATGTGAATTATATGCCAATGAAATTATTTTTAAAAAGCTCTACAAAAACAATTCTAAAAATTGGAACCTTGGAAATCCCTGCAAATTAAGAGACAGACTAAATGTGTTCTCCTTTCAACAAAATAATGAAAAATAATGTTGACAACACTTGAAATAAAACAAAATAAAAAGCTTTTGTAACAATGTTAGTGCAAGTGAAGCAGGTCACAAAATACAACACAATTTCAATTATGTGTAAAACCTGTAAAAGACTAAGCTTCAACCAAAACCAGACTCACTATCATTGAGTCGATTGTGACTCATAAAAATCTAAGCCTCACAGAAAAAATGAAATCTACCAACTAGGAAATAAACTGTGGGTTTTGGGTGGGAGGACTATAAATACGATTTCACTCCATTCAATTTATCAATAATGCATGTGTTTTCCAAATGATCTTTACGAATCTTTACGAAATATCATCTAGGTTGTAAACGTTTATTTGTTTTTGCTAATTAAAGAGACACGTAGGTGAAACAAGGGGGGAAGAGAAAGTCATGGGAGGGTAAGTGACAAAGTCCTGAGGGGATTGCAATCAGTGAGGTGAAATCAGAGGTGTGTGAAATGGTGACTGTAAAACAGGTATCTGCTCTGTAAAACTTTAACCCAGTTCACAATAAGAAGATGAAAAAAAAAAGCCCATAGGATGGAGTGATAGAATGAATTAGGAAGCCCAAATGCATGTGTTGTA